CCTACCTCTCTCTCTCTCTCTCTCTACATTGCTTACACCTCCACTCCCTCCTCTCTCTCTCTCTCTCTCTCTCTCAAAATCTTCATTTCATGTCATTTACAGCCAAACTCGCGAAGTTGCCCCTCATCCCACCATACTTAGAACCAGGCGCGGATCACTCTCATGGAGCTAATTTTGCCTCAGCTGGTGCTGGAATTCTTAACAAAACAAACAGAGGCGAGGTATCTTTTATTCATTTAAATCCTTTATTTTTCAGACTTTCCTACAAAATATACCAATTTATTCAGTTCAAATCATCTTGAACCATGGCTAGTCCGATCTGGTCTTGCTAACTATGTTAAATATTCTTTGTAAGGGAATTTATCCAAATATCCATATGAAATAAATTGTTCAACATTTTAACTATTTGCGATTAATCCAACATAAGATTATGTATTTTTTTGTGGGTATTCTAAAATTGAATCGAAAGATATGAATAAATTCATAAATTGTTCATATCTTTGATAAATAGTAATGATCCTATGAGACCCTCCCACACTTATGTGTATAGGACTTTAAAGGATCACCATTAAATTTGACACAGATATCTAAAAAGATTAAATTTGACACAGATCTCTAGAAAGGTGATCCTTTAAGGTCCTATACACATGGGTGTGGGAGGGTCTCATAGGATCATTACTATTTGATAAATTCCTCTTCTTCATATCTAAAAATTTAATGTGTGGGGCATTTTTTTTGTGTTAGTTTTTTTAAAAAAATGGACATCACGGGATTATTTTTGCCATCTTACATTTTATATCATTTTTTTTGGCAATAATACAGTTCATTTTACCCCCCTCGGAGATTTTTTTTTTTTTTTTTTTAAGTGAAAATGACTTTTCAAATTAAAATTTGTTGAAATTTTTCAGGTCGTGACGATGGACATGCAAATTGAGCAATACTTCAATCTCAGCGAGAAGTTTAAAAGAAATTTGGGGGACGCAAAAGCCAATCAAGTCCTCTCAAATGCTGTTTATTACATGACCGCTGGGCTCAACGATTATAAGGTGTTTGTCATGGATTATGAAGACCAGTTATCCTATTGCAAAGACGAATTTGTTAGAAATGTCATTGGCAATTTATCTACACAAATTCATGTAAGTTTTATATTCCATTGTTTTTTTTTTTTGTAGAAGTTTGGTTTTTAAGAAGTAAAGGTTTATATAAATGTGCAGTGGCGCAACCTTTTTTGTAGAAGTAAGATTAGAGTAATTGACATTGTCGATTTTATTTGAATGATGTAGATTTGATACTATTTTAAAACATATATTATCGTTTGAAACTGTCTTAAACGACATGTTAAATCTAAACTATTCAGCTAAAATGAACATAATACAACACCACAATCTTGCTTCTACAAGTAAGGTTGCTAATTTATATACACACCATAGCCTTTTGAGAAATAAGAATTGGACTGTTACTCAAAGTCCGTGCCATAAAAATAGTTTTTTTTTTGGATGCAAGTACTATGCACTGATGGTATACGGTACAAAATGGACACATCCACCACTTCCACTGTTGTATGGTGGTGATTAACATGAATGCTTTAAAGGGCTCAGTGTAGTTAGTGGACAAACAATTCTTAAGTGATTAAAAATTGTGTGGTGATGAATAATAGAAACAATAGTCTTTTGAGAAATAAGTATTGGAGCATTACTCATAGTCCATGTGATAAAAATAGTTTTTTTCTCCCGTTTTGTTGGATGCATGTGCTATGCACTTGTAGTATGCGGTTCAAAATGGACACATCCACCATTTCCACTGAGGTGGTGATTAACATGAATGCTTTAAAGGGGCCAGTGTAGTTAGTGGACAAACAATTTTTTAGTGATTAAAAATTGTATGGTGGTGATTAATACAAACAATTGTTTAGCAGAGGTGTATTTTCTCTATCCCATGTACAATAGAGGGAACATATAGAATAAGATCATTTATCTTTGATACAAAAAGATCATAATCAGCTTTAACCATAGATGTGAAATCAAGAAGTGCATAATATTCCAATGACCATCTTCCCAATCCTCAACAATTTATCATAGACTTTGAGATGCATGTGACCATCATGTACAAAAAGATGATAGTCCTATTGTATACAATCTCAAATCTTTACACCATGTATTATCTTCAAACAATATAGCGTTAAGAGTCTGTATACTTTGCTGCACATAAGTATAGTTTGTGAAACTCAAACCAATCACTTAATCAAGGAGAGTTGATGTGAGATACTAAAGTGGTAGAGACAATGGATGGTTGGTCTGAGTACCCTTAGCAATGTTAGTATGAACTATGAAGTGTTTCCATATATCTCCTTTCTTTTTCTCTTCTGCATTGTTGTGCCATTAAATTTATTTCTTTCTCTTTACAGCTCCATTTTTTGTGCTTACACGTAGTGTACTTTTCAGAAATTATATAAACGTGGGGGGGCTCGAAAATTTGTATTTACATCCCTCAAGCCTCTTGGTTGTACACCAGGTATGCGATCGCACATGGGTGGCAGGTGTTTGGCAACCGCTTCTTCTTTTGTAACTCATCACAATGATGCTCTCGAGAACCTTTTAATTAGCTTGACCTCCAAATTATCGGGCTTCCAGTATGTCTTCTTTGATCATCACGAGTTTCTAACTCCCATGATGGAAAAACCAGATCAACATGGTAAAAAATGCTTACTCTTACATATTTTGATATCGTTTTCACATTATGAGAAGGATTTCAGGTTATTAGATTATTTATATTTAGTATTAGAAAGTCACAATTACTACAGGCTCTTAAATGCGAAATTGGAAATTTAGGGTCGATAATCTTGACTTAGTGGTCATAGATCTTGAAAAAGAAAATATTAAACATGGCATGTTTTGAAACTGTTTTTCACCATTCATTTTACCCTTTCAAGGAGGTATCATTTTTACTACAAATGGACTCCAATAGATGCTTGATGATTGGAGGTTAAAGTCCAACAACTAGTTACCCTCAAGAGTGTAAGGAATAATAAAAATATATAAAATAAAAATAACAAACTAAACTTTATCGCTCCCTTATCGATTAAAACAAGTGTAATATATTCTAACGAACTCAACCATGTTATTCTTTAACCATATCCATGTTTTTTTAAGAAGAATTAAACTTTTAATTTTATCCCTTAAAACTCTACAACTTAAACATATAAGAATAACCCTAAAGACAACTAAAATTTCAAATAATATATTTTCTAAATTTTAGAAAAATATAAAAATTAAAAATCATTATTCTTATTTGTATCATTCTCCCGGGGCCAGGAGAAGCTCAACCTCAAGTTTGTTGAGCATAAACTTCTCAATAGGTGATGATGCAGTCCCATCATTCATTCTGGGTACTTTGTCTTCAATAAACCAAGTCATCAAATACTTTGTGTGCAACTTGAAGTCGAACATTGGGATCTCAAGTTTAATTTTAATATATCTTTCAGACTCACATGGTTGATTTCAAATACTACAGTACACATATCTTCTTTTCAATTGATTTTCAAAATTTCTTGCACGTTTGGGTTATTGAAATGGTCTTTTGTATCGAGGTCTACCTCTTCATATTCTTGTTCCTCATGTTGGAATCTATTAAATAAATCTGGTAGACTTTGTTATATTATTTTATCGATACGTTCTATCAAGTCTTTATTGAGTCTCTCAAATTTTTGATCTAATCGCTGAAATATTTGATCTACGCGCTCCATAACTAGATCAGTAATTGTTTGTGACCAATATGGATCTTAAGACTCTGATACCAAATAATGCAGAGAGAAAAATAATAAACTTGAAACATAAAAAATAAAATAAAGATCTTATATCCTCTTTCTAGGTCTGCAAAGGAGTCCACCCTAAGATCTTATTATAAGATCAAACTCTTTCGTTAGTCTCCAATCACTCCCTCTACAAAGAAGAGACATCTTCCCTTTAAATATAAACTTATAAATAATAATAAATAAAAATTGCAAACTAAACTCTATCTCTCCCTTATCTATATAAAAAATAAGTGCAACATATCCTAAACAACTCAACCATGCTAATCTCTATACACATCTATCATAAAAAAAAAGAAAAAAAGAAAAAAAAAGAAGTAAATTTTCAAGTATATTCCTTAAATCTCTACAAGTTAAAAAGACAAGAATAACCCTAAAAAAAATTAAAAATCCATATAACATATTTTTTAAGTCCTAGAAAAATATAAAAATAAAATAAAAAATATATTTATTAAAAAAAAATTTTTAAAATCTAAATAACATATTTTCCAAGTCTTAGAAAAAAAAAATATTATTTTTTATTTTTCATCGATGCTGCCAAGGGAGCATAGATACATGGTCTTCTCATATTTTCCGTTAATTTTTTAATGTAGCTTGACTATTTCAATGATATTTTCCCTTGAAAATTCAATTCTCATTTCCCTTATTTATCATTTGCTCCTTAGGTTTCGATAGTGGCCATGATGCTTGTTGTGGCAGCGGGCAAAATCGAGGGGAATACACATGTGGTGGAAAGAGTGGGGCTGCCACTTATGAGCTTTGCGAAGACGCATCTGCATATGTGTGGTTTGACTCGTACCATTACACAGAAGATATACATAGGCTTGCAGCCTACAAAATGTGGGAGGGGAATAAGAGTTGTGTGCGGCCGCAAGCTCTCAAGAATTTCTTCAATACAAGCAATGAAGACGTTTCAAAAGTGCATCTTGGAAGGAAAGGGAAAAAATGAATATTGACTCCCAAATCGGTATGTGAAATTCCAATTCTTCTTTTATTTCTTAATTTCACACAAGTTTTCTATAGTAGGATTGTAAAACTTTGAGATATATTTTGCGTTGCCTGCTCCCCTACTGACTCACCCAAAAAGAAAATCACTCATTCACTTTGTTAGGAAAAACTTTGTTTAAGATTATGCTCAGGATTTAGATGCATAGCCACTTGCTCGTATATAAAATATGTTGAGGTTTTTTATTATGTGGCATTGTCTACAGAGAGATTATTTATTTTTTGTATATGGGGATCACAATCATTCTTGTTTTTAAAATTCCAAAATGGTTGGTCGTAAGAGTGTCATTGAATAGACCTAAAGTTCCAAAAATAATAATTCTCGGACTTCGTGACTCACCCCAAGCCATCTAATTTGATATCTAATGAGTGGAAATGATTTCGACATTAAACAATCCAATTAAGGCCTAACTCTAAATTAAATCATAAATGTAATTTTGATATAAAAAATTCCTAGGATGATTTGAGAATCAATTTTCACATCTAATTATAAAATTTTAAATTATAAAAATAGTTCAAATCAAGTAGATCTAAAAACACATGAAAATCTTAAAAATATACGGTCTAGATAATATGTTGCAAGATATACTATTTCGCGGGCTCGAAATCTTTTTTTTCCTTTCATATTCATACATCTCGATGTCGAGATAATCAATTAAAATATTTTCCAATATCCAAACAATTTTTTATGATGGATTTTTGAGGTGAACTTTAATTCTGCATTTTAAATATTTTTGTAAAAACAAGCAATATTACAGTCACCTCTACCTCCATATGTGAAAATTGGACGGTTGGGATATGCCATTAATTGCACCCAAAATTGAAAAGAAGAAAAAATGAACTTCATAGAAATAAAACACTTTGCACGTCTCATTTTCACAATAAATAACGAGAGATAATATCCACCTTTTTGTATCAAAAGTAATTGGTCTTATATTTTACATCTCAAATTAATATCATCCAAAAGACAAACAATTGTGAGAGACTTCTCTCATTTGAAATAAATAATTTCTTCCTTAAGAATGTAAAGGCAATAATTTATTCTCTTTCATTATTTCATCTTATTATTAGGGCATCATTTGCATTTAATCACACATTATTAATGTCTTACATTTTTTATTTTAAGTTTATGTGCAGGAATTGGGGTAGCCATTTCTTAAACGATGGTTAGAGAGAGAAGAACCGGATGGCTGAGGATGATTCGGGGTTTTGAAGTTTAAATAATTGTTGTGCACTTTCTAGTTTTAGCCTATCTTCTACCTTTTATGGAACTTTCTTGTTCATGTTTTTTTTCTTAGTAAGGGTTAGGAATGGGCTCAATTTTGAGTGTCTAAGTTTAAATAATCTTTGCGGCTTTTCGAGCCCTCAATAAGTATTAGAAATGGACTCAAGCCACTGGCGGTCAGGGTGGTGAATGCACAACTTGCTGTCTTGAGTTTGAACTATTATAATGAGTTTTTCCATGATTTCATTTATCCTCGTTGATATTTTAGTAATATAAATTTTGTTTTGTTGAATTTTTTTATTTTTTTATTTTTTATTGTTTACTCCCACTTGAGGTCACTAAACTTACTCTCTTGGGCTAAAGTGCTACTTATGATTTTTTTTATTTGAAATTTCGAGATTGATTTTAGAATTCCAAGAAGAGCATTTTAAAAAAAAATATTTAAATTTTAAGTTCATAAATCCGAACTCTGAAAAATTGGATGACCTCAACATTAATTTTCAAGCTCAAGTAGAGTGCATACGATTTTCTTTTTATTTTCCTTTAGATACTTTGCTTGATTGAGGAGTTAGCATCTCCAAAACATGGGCCATATTTACATCTCCAAAACATGGGCCATAAAAGTATTCCAACTTTGAGTAAGTGAATAATATCCTCCTGCTGGAACATATAATCTGTTGGCTTCTTTATCATTGCTGATGCTTGTTTGTTTCGATTCATTGCTTTATGCATTGGATAGCATTGAATTGAGCATATATTATTTTGAAAATTTACATGATGAGATTATTTACTTTTGTTACAATAAGATCACAATTATTTTTATGTCGCAAATTCAGCACAATGTCTAAAATAAATTTTTTTGAATTTTGTGATACATTTTAATATGTTAGAATTCACATCCAATGGCTAAAAAAAGTTGTGGCCTTCTTGAACAAAAAATGAACGGTCTTATAATATACAATCCCTATTATTCTTTAAACCAACATACTATCAAGGTTTAAGCAATGACATACACCAAAATAAATAAATAAATAAATTAAAAAAGGCCGAACAGGAGCCAAAACCTAAGCAAGGTGCATTCCCAAAAGTTGGCAAGCAGAACTATTAAGCCCAAAATCCATGGACTATGCGTTTAGCATATAAGTGGAGAGGAGAGAATGACCAAAGCTCTACTAACAGAGAAAATGAACCTTACAACCTGAGATTATAATAACAAATATATAAGATTATAATAACAAATATCTTACAACAATATAATAATATCTATTATTGAGCACCCTAAGTTTTTCAATGAAGAATGTATTTTTTTGGGGTAATTCAGTGGGGAAGACAACCCCTACCTGTTTTTTCAAATAGTTTAAGAGTTAGTTTTTTTTGAAGGTGTTAGTGGGGTAGTGTAAGTGGACACGGAAATGAACAATGGATATTGATAAACAAAGGTGTGGTTTTAAAAGAAGTCAACCATAAATAATCAAAGACGTACTTTCAAAGCCTACCGAAAGATACAGTTCGGGTGCTGAACCACCCATGTAATTGCATAAAAATATATTTCCACCCCTACTTATCAAATTTAAAGCTTTAATATGTTGAAATGGAGAATATCTATAAACATTTTACAATCTTAAAAATAAATGGTCAAAATAATATGTTACAAGATGCACTATTTTAAGATTAAAAATATTTTATTTTTTATATCCAAATAACTTGTGGTTGAGATGATCAATTGGAGGTTTTTCAGTATCAAAACATCCTTTTCTAGTGGGATTTTGAGGTGTGTCTTACTATTATAGAATAAGTTTGTCGCCTTTTATAAACTCCTCCCCCCAATGGTCAGATGATAATTGCCTAAAGCACTATGTCTAATCACAATCATATTATTCTAAACCATTGATTTAAAAAACGGATCGGTGCCCCGGGCACCCAAAATACCCATCCGGATTGGTGAATCGGTGATTCAAATCGGGAATCGGCCGAATCGGTAAGATTAAGCCTTAAATAGATATCCAAAAAGTTATTAAAATTCATTATAAATATTTGTTTTTTAGGAATCCAATAAGAAAATGAGATACTACATTATTAACTTTCATTTTTTTTCATCAATTTACGAAAATTGAGATGTTCTTTCCCTATATAAACTTATGTTAACCATTAAATTTACATCACACAAAAGAAAAATCATAAAATTATCATGGATAAAATATATAATCATATATGGACTACAATAACGAATGGATTAAATCGATGAAAAAATGACCACTAAAATCTCGAATTAGCGGAAACCCTAATCTGCTAAAAAAAAACCCAAATTCTCATAACCTAACAAACTATAATCCAAAATTATTACAATCTAACTAACTATAATATTATATACTGAAATTGAAATTGTTTGTTTACATTTTATAGTTATTTATTACACAAATAGTAACAAATTCAAAATATCTTATATTATCATCTAATTTAAAATGTATTATTGACAACTATAAGAAAAATAATACATTATATGATTTATAATGCAAATAAATTAATAAATAAAATAAAAGATTTAGTTATCAATGTAGAAATTATTATAATGCGTACCAA